GTAGAAGAAGAAGAAGTAGAAAGAAGAAGAAGTAGAAGAAGAGAAGTAGAAGAAGAAGAAGTAGAGAAGAAGAAGTAGAGAAAGAAGAAGTGAAAAAGAGAAGTAGAAGAAGAAGAAAGTGAGAAGAAGAATAGAAAATAGAAAGAAGAGTAGAAAAGAAGAAAAGAATGGTAGAAGGAAAAGCAGAAAGAAGTAGAAGAGAAGAAGAAGTTGAAAGTAGAAGAAGAAGAAGTGTAGAAGAAAAAAGAAGAAGAAGTAGAGAAGAAAGAAAGAGAAGAAGAAGTAGCAAGATGAGAGTAGAAGATAGTTTAAGAGAGAATAGAAGTAGAACGTAAAGTAGAAAGAAGAGAAGAAGTAGAAGAAGAAGAAGACGAAGGAAGAAGAGAAGAAATGAAGAAGTAGACAGAAGAAGAAGGTAAGAAGAAGAGAAGTAGAACGAGAAGAAGAGAAGAGAAGAATAGAAGAGAAGAAGAGAAGAAGAGAAGAAGAAGAAGAAGAAGTAGAAGAAGAAAGGCAGAAGTAGAAAGAGAAGAAGAAGTAGAAGATTCTTCTTCTTCTACTTCTTCTTCTTCTACTTCTTCTTCTTCTACTTCTTCTTCTTCTACTTCTCATTCTTCCATTGTCATGACTTTCTCCTACTCTTTCTTGTTATTTTCTCTTTCTTTCCTCGTTTTCTTTTTATTTTACATATACACGTTTAATGACGCAGGAAAAGTATCCATTTTTCTACACAACATCTGTAGGTCCCTGGCACCGACAAAGTGGATACTTCTAGCTCTACTATGTACTTAATTACTGCCGCACTCAGTGCCTGAAAATGGGTGTAATTGAAGTTGATTACAGATGGAAATGCGAAATTGCAAAGTACTAGTTTAATTCTTATTAGTAGCACTTTTGTGTACGCCGCCACATCATATGCTAACAGGAAAAATTTGCACAATAGGTAAAGGGAATTTTATAGGGAAGAGAAAGATTGTAGAAGCCAATTTACTCTATTTCGTTACAAGAGCACCAAAAAGTTCTAGGCGCATCCTAGCAATAATGTGAAAAGAAAATGTCATATCGTGTAATCTCGGGCGAGAATATTTCAGACATTGTAAGAAGTTACATCTGAAATACTTCTTTGAACTGTAAAAGACGGGAGTCGCAAATTATTTCTGTAATGTACTGGTCGCGTCTAAAAATCTGACGCACTTCTTTAAAACGAATTTCAGGTTATTGGTCAACAATCCTTTCCAAACAACCATCACTTTTACGTAATTATTTCACTTGGCACAATTGCAGATCAATAATTAAAAACAAAGCCACTTCTCGTAATCGTATAAATATCTTTTAAAGGCGTTTTGCAACGTTAAAGAATCAACATAAAAAGAATTATGCCAATCTCCAGAAAATATTTTCTAAAGATAAAACAAGGCGAAGGCACCGCCAAAAAGCGTGTAAATAGTATGACTCACTAGCTTATTTCCGATGAAGCCGGATTATAGTGAAGATTGATAACATCTTTCAGAAGTTATAAATTACTCAAACACAAATTTTTAAGGGCGAGAATGTAGCATGTTCGTTCGCTTAGATCTTCTCTTTACATGTTTAGATCATGGTTCCCTTCCAATGAAATTAAGAATTAAAATTCATAGAACACGCCACTCTACGCCAAACATACGTAGAGAACAGATAATCAATAGACATGGATAGTTTATTGGTGTGACGAAACGTTTGCGAAACCACCGACGTCAAATAGACTCTATTTGCACGAAAAATATTGAGTGTGTAAACTCTGCGGCCTCACAACTACGAAACAGCTGGTGCAAGTGGCAAGTTGCCACGTGCGCGATAACTAAAGAAAGTATGTATTCCGGGTTCATAAGGATCGACTCTAAAATGCGAATGACTATTAGTAACTACATTTAAATCAAACTCTTGTTGGTTAAACATTTTTAATTTTCTAAATGTCGAATATAAATTCGTCCCTATGAACCTCAGTCCCATAAATAGTGCCTCTGGTAAAGTGTTCTTAAAGGCGCACTTTACATTGTTTGGTTCGTTCACAAAACGTTCGAGCCCCTCTGTACTTGTTATTAATGAATGGCACTTGATATATTACTATAATATTGATATATTACTAGCGATCTCGAATTTTTACAAGGTTCGTTTCAACTGTAACTGTGACACACGAAAAATATTAATGTCTATAAGGTGCAGTTCCAAAAATAGTTAAGATTTGTGCAGGTGGCAATGATATACAATGATTCTTTTACAACGAAATCTATATGTGTATGTATGCTTGGATGGATGGATGCATGCATACATACATACATGGATGGACGTGACACAAATAATTCCGATAAATTATAAGCTTAAGAGCAGAAAAATGATCAATAAAATACTCTTAAAATGCCCTAAACACAAATAAAAATGACTCGAGCTCTTGGATACGTTACTGGTGTAATTGAGGTTTCTTGTGTTGAAGTGAACTCATCTCGCAAAGATTGGATTTGGACTGTTCTTTAAAATAAAATCTCTGTCTGCACTTATCGCGAAATCAGCCCAACTGACAATGGCGCCGATAAACGTCACAGGAACCTTAGATTACATAGTACTCACAACGTCTGATATTACAAAATATATTAGCGAAGAAATCGATTAGGCTACTCAGGAATTCTGTGGTGAACATTTGTTGCGCCTCGTAAATATTGTTTGAAGCAAGTGGAATTAAAATGATATTAAAATCGATTAAATCAGCGAAAAATGCAGCAAATATTAAGTAAAAGGGTAAAAATGACTTATTGTCGAAATCGTCGATAAATGCAAAAAAATGCCATACAAACGGGACGTATCGTTTTAACAAAACATAAAATTAATTTAAGAACTAAATGGCATTATTCTAAAGTGAAAAAAAAATCATGAATATCCGCCCCTACTCATACTCAGCACCCTTACCATATTGTAGTGTTCGTTACCTTCTCTGATTCTGACATCAATTCGCGCGTTTCATGCTGGTACTAGAAATGTTTCTTAAAGTAATCAAGTTAGATAAATAATAATAGGCATACACAAATTTGCAAACAAATATTCATTCAAGTAATAATATAGAAAGCAAATATTTGAATTTGAAATATAATAATATGAGTAATATTTTGACATGTTTATGTCAAAGACGCTTTCGTATGAGGTGTGTACATTAATTTCACATAAACTAAGCGAAACTTCCAATAGTATAGTCCGACATTGTTTGTTATATGCAATACTTGTAGCAATATGCTCAATATCGCTTCTATTGAGTATTTTTCGACGTTGTGCGAAAGGCTGTCCAAAACTCTACAGAAGTCTCTAAATATGTTACAAATTTCTAGGGCATGTAGGGTATCAAAGGTAACCCCTAGTGCGCCAGTTGAGTCTCCGCAGTGGCACAAATGGCTAGTGACAGTGCTAGAACCACACATTATGTTGGTAGCACGAACTGCAGCTTGTAACTCACGAAAACATACATTGCCTATTCGCCACAATCATAACAGATGCTGGAAGTGTTGTCCCCTTCACTTTTTTTCACAGTGGTCTGGTTGCTACGATCATAAATGCAATTTATAATAGGAACCCCTGCTCTGGCTCGGTGCGGAGAGATTTTCCTGGTGTACTGTATAATTTTACATTATATTTTATAAAAACTACCACCTGCTGTAATTAAGCCGGCGACTTGAAGTGCGAACCGACGACAACTGATGACTTGACAATAGAAGCATTTAATGTAGTGATGTTTATGACGCGATATGCAGTATGGGGTTAATGGATGATTGACAAGGTATTGGTGGTACGCGAACACGCCCGCTAAAAAAGGTATTTGCGTGTTTCGAGGTGACAAATGTAGAAAGGCAGTGGATTTCACAAGGTTTAAAAAGGCGTTCAATAAAATAGTAGTGCACGCTCCTCTTAACGAACGTTATCATCCGTCTGAGCGAAGGCGCACATGTGCACAGTGGCTCTGCCACTTTAGAAGTCTTTGTGCGCAAGCACGCGTTCGCTAGAAATTCAGAAATCATTTGTCAATAGACAGCGTGTACATCCAGTTCTATGGATATTTAACATTCAGAGTACAAAGAAATGGTGAATTTAGGCTGGTTAAGCACATTATCGTGTAAACTGCTTGGTAAGGTAAACATTGCTTGTCTTTGACAATAAATGAGGTTATAGGGGAGCTGTGATGGAATGAAACCAGGCTGTCTGGTCCTGGATAGAGATGTAGAGTGTTGACGAAGAAAGCTATGAAAAGGGAGGTGTAAGGGCTACTTAGAAGGTGGATCAGGTCATTTTTTACACTCTTTAAGCTTTTCGGAAAATGCTAAAGTCGTGTGAAAAAATACACCACGAAAACTGTATAAAACATCCTACTTAATGCACTTCTCTCTAGATCATCCTGTTTTAATAGAGAAACGGAATGATAAATGCCTCGTTTGAAACGCGTCTGAACAGGCGAGGGATATCCTCGTGCAGGAGTCGCGCGGGCCGTCGCTGGGATCGGCCGGGTGGCTGCGAGTGGACGCGAATCCGTCAGCAGCTCGATCGCGACCGCCGCCGCCGCCACCGCCGCCGCCGCCGCCGCCTGCCAGAAACCGCCCCCGCCGCCGGCCGCCGCCGCCGCCGCCGCCGCCGCCGCCGGCGCACAGCAACACGCGGCGGACGAGAATAGACGGCCGCCCGTGCTCCCCGGTCGCGCTGCGCTGCGGCACCCGCGGCACCCTCCGCCGCCCGCCTCGCCCCCGCGACGACACTGCCCGCCCCCCCCCCCAGCGCCCACTGCGCTCATCGCTTCGCCTTCGCTCCGGTCTCTGCCCTGGGCCCTGTCCTTTCCTCACATCCCCCGCCTCAGCTCACAACTCCCCACGTCAGGCCGCATCGCCCCGTCATAGCTCGCAGCACCCTGCCTCAGCCCGCATCGCCCTGCCAGCCCCACATTTCACCGTCTTCCCCACCACGTTGCCCCGCCTCGGTCCAAACTGCCCAGCGTCGACCCACGCTGCTACGCATCGCCCCGACTCTGCCCGCGTCGGTCTGCCTCTGCCCGCGTCGGTCTGCCTCTGCCCGCGTCGGTCTGCCTCTGCCCGCGCTCAAACCGCTCCGCCTCTGCCCACATTTCCTGGCCTCATCCCGCATTTATTCCACCTCTGCCCGCATTTCCCTGACACTGCATTCTCACGTCTCTCATTTTAATTCATAACAATAAATCTACTTACAATTTAATTTGTACCGGCTTAGGTGGCTCAAGGCATCAACGGATGTCACTGCAGTGCCTCTGAACGAATCGCGACGGCGGCAGGACTGTCATCTAGCAGGAATGTATATGATATATAGCTATATCAAATTCAGTCGCTGTCTAGAAGAAAATTCTAGCGGCCTATCAATACCAGGCAAATGCCGCAACAGATCCCTAACAAACGAGCATAGTCCTTGCGCAATCTGTCCTTCCTACTCATTGTCCTACCGTCACTTCTTACCCTCACACATACAATTAGACGTAAACTTACATTTCCGTAAACTACACTACGATCCACGTCAAGAGACGAGTCAGGAAATTAGAGCTAGGGCGGAGGGAAATATCTGGTTGGGAAAACCCCGTAAGTCGATTTGTAATTCGACACCAGCTGGATCTCGCTATACAGCTGGATATGTTGGACCGAGCTATAGCAGGTGAAAGACCACGGCCACCGCCCGTGATAAAAACATCGCCTTCGCTCTCGGGATTAATGATCGAACGCGTTGACGCGCATTGACGCTGTTGAAGATGCTTTCGGATTAGATAAAATCTATTATCCACGACGTTAATGCTTGATAGTAATTGAGCACTCGGAGCCCCACGCTAGTGAATAAACAGTAGCTTGCTGATAATGTTCCCCCTTTGTTACTTGTACATTAAAGGACTATAAATTCGCAGAAATATGTGAAATTCGTCGAAGATGGAACGTATCACACGAATAAGTGAGAAAAATAAACCCGATCTCCTACGCATGATGTAAACATTATTTGTAATATTCTATGCTATTTAAGCTCAAACCAAAATCACTCATGTGCGTCACCCGTTTTGTAGCATAGCACATTATCAGCTCTCACCTCAGTAATTATAACCGCAAATTAGCATGGAGGCAAACAAATGCTTTCCAATTAAGTATTTCCCGGAAGCGATGTTTCGCAGAGCTCTTTCGCTAATTTTCACAACAAAATACAGTTCCTCCCAACGTCCCTCCCACCATTAAACTCTACCTGCGCCAACCAACCATTCGCGGAATCGCGTGGCAGGGACTGTGCACTGGATCGCCGCGCGTAACTCACAAGCAGTATCGTAGCCATTCTGCAGCGCTTCAAGATGCAGGGGGAGCGTCGTGGCGTGGCGGGGAGCGTCGTGGCGAGGCAGTACACGATATTGCAGTGCCTTTCTTTTTCTAACAAAACGCAAACTTCATATTAAAGTCTGTTTATTAATCATAATTATTTATACTTGTGCACTCATAATGTACTCATTGACAACGTTCGCACCTTCATACTTTTCTTGGTTATTTGTTGTGTAGTGATTTTTTTTAATTGTCCAGATGATTTTCGTAATGTTTACTTCTTCCCTTTTGCCTTTACTCCTAATGTTTCTTTTCTCACAACCCACCACTCTCCTCCCGTCAGTCCGCCGTGGTAATGTGCTTCCCCTCCTCCCGTCCCACTCACAACGTGCCACTAACGAAGCCTTTGAAATATCCAAACCACTAATGTCAAACCGCACGCGCCGCGCGCGCTCGCCAATAATTGTACCCCTCCCGAGCGCATCTCTAGCATCGCCCTCGATTGGGGGTCGTGCATGAATTCTGGCCACCCGCGCTCCGCTAGGCCCCGCCAAGCCGGAACCCGCCACGCATCCCAAAACCACGCAGCCCCCGCCACGCCGCACCCAACACGCCGCCCCGCGCCACGCCATTCCTAACCACGCCGCCCCCCGCCGCGCCGCCCCAGCCGGGCTGCCCCCGCCGGCTGCCCCCGCCGGGCCGCCCCCGCCGGCCGCCCCCGCCGGGCCGCCCCGCCGGCCGCCCCCGCCGGCCGCCCCCGCCGGGCCGCCCCGCCGTTCGGCCCGCCTGCCCGCCGCCGCCGTGCCGCCCCCGTCGCGCCGCCGTCGGACGAGCCGCCCCGCGGCCCCCGCCGCGCCGGACGCCCCGCCACGGGCCTCGCCACGTTCACAGCCACGTCCCCCCGCCACACCACCCCCGCCATGCCACCCCCCCATGCCACCCCCGCCATCCACCCCCGCCATGCCACCCCCGCCATGCCAACCCCGCCAAGCCACCCCCCTGCCCTCCGAACCCAAACCCCGCCGCGCCGGACAGCCGCGCGGACCCCACTATTCTCCTGCTAACTCACCCTGCTATCACTGCCACCCCCAGGCCTTCCGCCCCCACACGCCGCCTGATGGTGCCATGGCAATACATTGTGACGCAGCCGCCCCCGCGAGCGCCATTCGCCGACAAATCAAGGCCGATCATTTTGCGGTTGCGCTGCTGTAAATTTGTCGCTGTTGGCCGTGCTTCCCGGGGCCCGGCACTGCGGTTGCGAACTCACATGCACAGCCGGTTTTCCTCCAAGTAGCAACCAAAGAGCTCGTTTATATCTTGATAAATTATACAGTCCTGCATATTTTTTCTGTGGCAAATTGTTGAAAACTTGTCTAATTCCAGTTTAGGTGTGCTGAATTGCCAACTTTTCGTGGCACGTACGGTTTTCGTGCCATGCAGAAAATATAATTCCTGAATTGCAGTAATTTCATAGTAGAAACCACATTTTCCAAGGTGTAAAACACTAAAATATCAAAAAAAATTATTAGTGGATACAATAGCTAAAAATGAATAATGAATTATCAAACATCCGCAAAGAAATATATTTTCTTCCTTCTGTTTTGTTAAAAACGAACAATGTGTTGATTGACGAAATCGGAACTAAATCCTACTTGTAAATGCACTTTACTCTCTGTAATGAAAACAATTGAAGACAAAACATGCAGACGTTATTTTTAAACATTGAAAATGTCGTCAGTACTTTATGTAAAGCACTCTCTAAAATTAAAAAACCTTAATTATTCCTAAAATGGCAAAACTAGATCTTACTCCTGACCTTATTACCAATTATTCATCTCAATAGCTTATAATATGACAGTTATGACATCCATCCATCTAGACATCTTGATTTCTCAGTACAAAACTGGATCACTCCCTGCCCCCCTGCACCAATCTTAAACATCTTCTCAACATCACTAATAGTCGAGAGTAATCCTCACGTGTGTGCGATGTCGCAGCTCAAAAGAATTTTAAACTTGGTTTTACGACCCAAAATTCGAAATCGCAGAGTTATAGTGATTCCAATACTTTTCCCCTTACACAATACAATAGGGAGGAAAATTAATAAATGAAATATGTTTATTGGCGCTTGAAACCTGTTTACACAGTCCTGCAATAGTGTCAGATAGGACGAGCGCAATTCGGCCGAACAGCAGAGCGGTGGTCTGGGATACCTTGTGAAGGTTGTTCAATTCGCGACAATTGCTAATGTAATTGGCCCTGTAAGTGTGGGATATGTTTTAACGCGGTATGGGGGCGATGATCTTCCTCTGAAAGGGAGATCCGGCGCAGACCTACAAGTGTTGCGGAGTTTCCGCCACCCAGGAATCTCTCACAAGCAGGGCACCGCCCCAGCCGAGGCAAACTCTAAGCTCCCGACATGTGTAGTGGTGAATTGCATGTAAGTGTGTGTATGTTCGCGCGCGGAGGTGGTGTAATGGTTAGCGTCCGGACTGTTGTACACAAGTTAGCGGGTTCCAACCCGAGCCGTACATTTTTAAGGGCGAAAAAATCCTACGTACGCCTTCTTTCGGAGGGGAAGTAAAGCCGGCTGTCCCATGCTAGTAGATTTACTTGCACGTAAAAGATCCTTAAGCCTAAATGACG